TGATATATACACGACGAATTCCCATTTCAAATTTAACCAAATCCTCCATTACTCATATGAAATATAAATATCTAAAAGGAACAAATATACTGAGAACTGGTGTTCTAGGGTGGGGATGAGGTAAAGATTACGGTGTGGTTGGGAAGTAGCAATAGCGTAAGCTTCTCTTCATTGAAATTCTCTCTTCCAAGCCGGTTCAATTAATTCTGCGCGTGGTCGATGCAGATAATACCAAAACTATCCACTTCATAGTTTAACCGTATTCGATGATAGCCCAATCGTTACACCAACATAAGTAACGAATTAAGGGATAGAAAATAACCGGTTGGCTACTAGCGGGTTGATCAACACAGACAAGCACAGATGTTTCGTTTTAAATCGCAAAGCAGAGCGGATTATAAAGATCAATCAGATGATGATGCACTTAGTTATACGTAGTTGTGAGCCATCATCACTACCCTCTATTATACCAACCATCAAGGACTGGCTGTCGACAGTGCTGACTTAAACAAATATTCTAATATTCAACAATATCTTTGGATTGCTGTATGTTATTATGCGAGTCTGTCAGTTGTGTAGGCGATTTTCCGGGACAACAGAATAGAAAAAAAACAGGAAATCGGAAACAATAATACAATGCAATCAACGTCAGCCTTGTTAAGTGGTTACTGCGTTATTGAAATAGAAGTAGCAGCTGCATCAAGGAATAGTCAAAGACTGTTCCGGCTGATATCCATACGGGAGGCCGGCGAAATCCAGTTAGTGAAACAGTCTGCGATAAGAGGGGACGAGCTATTCACAATAGGGATCAACGACTCGATCGCTGGGCAGAATACTTCAGCGAACAGTTCAGCTGACCTAGTGCCAACCAGGCTGCTTCATCTGGAACTGAAGCTCCGTGGGCAGTGTTATGCGATCCTCCAACGGAAGCAGAAGTTCGGTCTTGCATTCAAGCTCTGAAGCGAGGAAAATTATCAGGACCGGATAAGCTCCCTCCCTAAGATCGGTTATACTTCGACGTCTGACACCTTTAAGAGAGACCACCATCCGTGAACAACAAGCCGGATTCCGGCCTGACCGTGGATGTATTGATCAAATTTTAGTTATGATGGATTACTTTTCCTACTTAGGTAGTTGCGTAACCAATGACGGTAGTGCAGCAAAGGAGATAACCGCCCGCATTTCCAAGGCTCGCGCAGCATACGCAGGACTGGAACACCTTTGGCGTAGACGCGACGTTTCACTGAAGTTGAAAGGTTGTGTGTATTGTGCCATCGTTCGTTCAGTCCTGCTTTATGGTTGTGAGACCTTGAATTTGCGAGTAGAAGATATCTGTCGACTGGAAGTTTTCGATTATCAATATTTACGTAGTTTAACCCACGTTGGGTAGAGCGAATGGGTTAGTAACGTGGAGGTAAGCCGTCATGTGTTTGGGAGTCTGGCACACCGAATTCAGATTAGTAGACTTCGCTGGCTAGGGCACGTATTGCGTATGCCC